CTGTAGGCCGCTGAAACATAGCGCGACATTCCAAGATCCCTTCGTTCCTTGCTTCAAATGTCCGCATACACCTCTATGCTATCCTAATCTACTCCTCATCAACATTCTCCATGCTTGGGCGTCCGCTGAAGTGTTTGAACTTGATCGGCGCCGGCGACTCCCCCAAGAGACCAGAATGATGGACCGGCGGCGGTGGAAGATGGATTGGACGAAGGCCACCAGGCAGCAAGGGCGTAGGCGGGATGACGATGTCGGGTCGAGCGGGCGAGCCAGCCGGGGTAGTAGAGCCGAGTGTAGAATCAGCCATGGATCTGGTACTGTCGTTCCAAGATGCAGTCTCCTCCAGTACCACAGCTTCTTCACCTCCATCTACCTGGATCGAGGGCGCCATCATGTTCATGTTGCGATACGCAGCGACGCTCTCTCCCATCGTCTCATCGACGTATGCAGTCTGACTCCACAGCAGCGCCTGCCATGGCCACACAAAGCCCTCGTCCTCCCAAGGCCAGGTGTGCGTCTCGGTGTATTCCATCAACGCGAACGCAGCGAAGATCAACATGCTCGCACACAGGAAGCCGATCTACAAGCCGTTAGTAATGTCTCCCAGGCAGCTTCCTCGACGTACATACCACGGCGTTGGTCAACTCTTGGGGTCTGGGGAAGTAACCCGGCTGCTCATACTCTGCGATCGCAAACAGGGTGCTGGCGGCCAGTGCAACGAATGCATATCTATATTTGGCTAGGGGCGCGATAATCCTGCGATATTCTTGGCGGATGTTTTCGGGGAGGAAGAAATCTACGACTCGCGTTCTGATGCGACGTAGGAAATTGAACGTAGTGGCGGTAGTGGTAGCGGGTGCGGTTGTCGAGTTGGTCGTTGGAGTGGCCATCGTTGCGGGTGCGGGTGGAGAGGTGACTGTGTGGGTCGATGTCGCGACTGCCTTATTCGCGGTCAGTGAGATCATGCTACTCGAAAAGTCTGTGCGACGCGCTTCCCAATGCGAATTCCGAGGCGTGAAAGTGAGGAAAGCGCGTATTGCCCTATTTGGGTAAGGAAAACAAACAAAGAAGACTGCGCGCATAGCAAACGCACGTCCGCGCGTTGCAGCAAACACCTGGCGGAGAAATGCCCTGTCGTCTCTAGAATGATCAACGGCGGAAGGGTGCATTAGCTCAAGATAACAACTTCAGAACAACACGGACAGGTCAGACTATATAAGTCATCCCATGATACTCGCTATTGCAATCTTCGCAGCCGTTATCGGAGATATCAGGAATCTATTCAGGGTATATCATCAATCTACTGCCAAGTCTACAAACAACACTCACTCCTTCGGCTTAAAAACACGATGCCTCGCCAAAAGTTGCGATATCATGAAATGCGAAACGTCCTCGTCGGCCCAATATGTCATGTGACTCGCTATGCTCGCCAGCAGCGAGATATCAAAAGCCTGTTGCAATGTCAGAACCGCAAGCTACACATAGAGAAGACGTTGTTACTTACGCCTTCTTGAATACTGTAATCCACGCGACCGTTACTGTTCAGCGCCCGGACTTTAGCTTCCTCCTTCTTAAGTTTGCGACTTCGTTCTTCTAGCTCCTGCCATTCGAGATCCTTCTCTACGTCTCGCTCGCCGTCTTCGCTTTGTTGGCTCGCTCTTCGCTTTTGGAAACCAGCAAAGAGTGTCTCAATGTCGCCTTCGATAAGCGTCGGAGGGTGTTCGCCGTCTGTGCCCTCGGCAATGGTTTCTTGTCCAAGGCGGCGGCGACGCTCTTCGCTGATGAAGGCACTGGTAGGCTCGTTGAGTCCTGGCACGAGATTGACAGCGCTATTTGGGGCGGGTGCCGCGGCGGTGAGGGGTCGAGAGGTGCGCTGTCCTTGTGTATTGCTGCCTGCGCCTGTCATCTCGGTCCCTGATATGCCGAGACTGCGGTTGAGTAGTCCACTGGCGATACCTAGCACATGTGTTGTCAGCAGATAGCTCATAGTAACAAATATGTCAGGTAGTCAGAGGCGATCTGAACTTACCAGATCCTAGAGAAGTCCAGAAGTCTGTCACACCCTGGCCAACGCGCTGTCCAATGCCAGTAAAGCCTTGCGATGCAGGCGCACCGAAGATGCCCTTTTTGGTATAAGGTAGAGGCTGAGCCTTAAGGGCTGACATCGCTGGCGATATCAACGGCTCGATGCGATAACTGATGGGATCGGTCGGATGGAAGATGTTGAAGACTTGCTTGCAGAGAGGCGAGGAAGTCGTGATGTCGAACGCATGCTCGTCTCCACCTTGTGAGAAGGGGTCATCAATCGATGTCGCAGGCGTCTTTGGTGGAACAAATCCGGTGGTAGAATTCTGCGGTCGCCCAACGATGGTACGCCCCTTGAGCATCTGAAACAGGCCAATAGGCGATCCAAGAGCATAGAAGTCCTCCACCTCAAAGTCCAGCTTCAGGCCTTCTTCGGTAGATCTTCGCTGTTTGGCCGATTGTGTGCTTGGTTTGGCTTTTGGGTCTTTTTGGATGCATAAAATATCGAACATGATGGCAGACCCGAGCGAGTGCCCGACTAAGCTCACTTTGCCTTTGAACGAAGGGTTGCGCTCCTTGAACAGACGGTAGGTACGGTTAAGCTCGTTCACGACGATTCGAGAGATATGGCCCTTATAGGCAGGGCTTTGATACAGCAAGATGTCAAGCGCGAGATCAGTGAGGAAATTGCGAACAGCGGGAACGCCTGTATTGTTAGTATCTGTTCTGGCTTAGGACCGGATCGCTTAACTCACCTTCAACGGTTATGTCCTCGAGGTTAGGATACTCTTCATCTTCGTGGTCGAGATCGCCTAGGTCGTGTTCTTTGCGGTTGTGCTTCAAGCTTTGCTTAGGGAAGTCCAACAAGTGCCGCCAAATGATGGGGATGACTTGTATGCGGTTGTTCTTGGTCTCTGAGTCCGTTTCCGCATTCAGGGCTTGCAGATCCGGCGAAGCTGAGTAGACAGACTTGAGGGACTTGCGTAAAGTGTTGACGTCGTGAATGAAGTTAATGGACTCCATTCGCATCCCGAGACGTTGTCCAATGCCATGTGTTACTAGGAGCAGATGCTCAATATCACGGTCTTGATCACTCCCATGCTGGGTTTTGTAGTCTTCCCGCATCTCTTTCTCCTCACGCTTTCGCATCTCCTCTTCCTGCTGTTGCTCATATTCTGGTTTTGAGGATGTCATCAGTGACGAGACCTGTCGTTCGAGATTGCGCCTGCGCGTTTGGGAAGGCGACATGCTTCGCTCGTTTTCAGACGTTTCTCCATCGGCATCAGAGTCCGACTGCTTGCCGTGATCTGAACCATATGCCAGGGCGGGTGTAGCCGGTCGATCCTCCTGTTTTGCGCTCTGAGGGCCCTTCCCTGGGGTCGGTTGTTTCTTCTTTTCTTTGGGATCGGTGTATCCTCGAATGTATTTGTACCCAGCGTAATGGGCTCCTCCAGCGAAGCGCTGATACAGGGTACTGCCCATGCGCGACCACATGTCATCAGTCAACATCCAGGCTGTCGTCTCGTCTTGATAGGTAACGGTGGAGTTCAGATGTGCGCCGAACAGTCGGTGTGTGCGCGGTAAGTCGGCGGGCGCATTGGAGGTTGTAGATGCATCGCCGGGGTTAGAATCGTTCGACTGTTTCGAAGCCTCTTTCTGTAGATTATCATACGACGACTTGGGCGTGACTGGGTTGGATGTCGAATCGCGGTTCAGCCTGGCCAGCTCCTTGCGGTGGTCCTCGCCAGCACTTGGGCCCATAGAGAGCGGCCGAGCGCGGGGTTGCGAAACTGCTCGCTTCTCTTCCGGCTTCCCGAACTTCCAGGGCTTGACTTTCAAGTAGCCTTCCTCGAGCTGCATGGCTAGACCTTCATCGACGGCCTCCCCATCCGGTGTGAACCACGTCCCTCGCTTCACATCGTATACCGGACCCAGCCAGTATGATGGCGCCAATTCGCGTGTCTCGATCTCGACGTCGAACAGGTAGTCTTCGTTGACGGGCACCTTTGTGGTTTTGGGAGGAGTCGCGCTCGCTTGGGTGGGCGTCGTGGGGCTGATGATGCCCTTTCGCAGTTCGTCGGCATCGGCTTCGTCGGCAGTCTTTTGGAAGGCGGCCTCGATGGCGCGAGAGTCGCTGGCGCCGAAGGGTATCCATTTCTTGGGTTTGGGCAGGGCCGTGTCTGGGGCCATGGCATGTTTCGAGAGGGGTTTGCGCTTGGGCGTCTGCCAAAGTCAGTGCCGCAAGGGAAGGCAAGAGCGCGATGGATACGATGACAGCCCAAGGGTGTATATTGACTACTTACATCTATAGCATGAAACCACCTCACAGCCAGCGGAGGACAGTCCTTGGGGTACCGCTTGAGACTCAGTCTGTACCTCCGATCAATCACATGATCCCCTCCTTGCTGGGGAGCAAGTACTGCCGCAGCTCTATCCTTCTCCTTCTCCTGCTCTGCCTTCTTCGCCTTGTCCGCACTCCCCTCGGCCTTGGATGTCGCCGGGGGCTTGGGGGTGCCGGCGCGTGAAGGCCATGGGGATAGATTGGAGAGAAAGCCCTGCTTGTTATCCGGGGCAGCCATTCTGTCGACTGGAGGGGCGTCGCCGCCAACGCGCAACTTGCTCAGCCAGGACTTTGCGTGGTACCGTGAAGCTTGGAAGGGTGGAGCCAGCGGCCTTGGGCGGGGCGATCGGCAAAGCACGCGAAGATGGACGCGTCGAGGAAACGTGTTGGCGATGGAGAGGAACTCAGAGGGTAATGGCGGGACGAGGCATGTTATACAGTCATGGGGCGGTGGCAGGCGTCAGAAACATGGGATTACATGGGCTTGCTGGTGTCTTGCATGTGCTTCTGATTTCAGGGCCGCAGCATGGCCGGAGCGGCTAGTTACATCACTGGCCAACGCGCGGGGCTGCCGACTGCTCTTCCACTCGCGTCGCGCGTCGACGGCATCACCACACCGCCACCCCTCAACACCATGGTCATTCGCACCATTCACGATCTGAACGCCCGACGACTGGTCTTGCCGCCGGCTCAGTCCAGCCCCTCTACGGACACGGAGCGCTTTTCTCTCGCAGATGCTGGTCATCTGAAGCTAAAGCTACAAGCTCTCGATCGCGCCATATCGAGCATACGGCCAGATAGTCCTAGCGAAGATGATATTACCAATATTGACGATGCCTGCAAAACAAACCCATCTGGAGGATCAGTCTACGTCGCTGGCTCGGAGAGGTTCTACCTCGTAGTAAAAGGCCTCACGGGGCCGCGCGCCACCGCCGATGCTTATGCTGAAGCATACAAGAACGTCCTGCAAGGCAGGCCCTATGCTAATAAGTACAAGCTATCCGGGTGGGCGGGGCCACCACCCATATTCTCAGAGATACGCCCCCTACTACGAGATATTGACATTGCCTGCGAAACCAACCTCGAAAGCGCCTTTGCCATACTTGAGGAAAGAGGTATGTACAGAAGGGACCACATACCCTGACTCTGCTGACATGTACTAGCCAAACCCTTTCCCTTCCTCCGACTTCCCGCTGAGCTCCGCCTCCACACGTACTCGTTCCTTCTTCCCCCGGGGCCTCGCATCGTCCTTGACCCTTCACGTCAACACGTCACGCGTCCACGCCTCAACATCATGCGAACCAACAGGCAGATACACAATGAAGTGAGGAAGCTCTTCTACGGGAGCCGAAGAATGTTCATTCAAGTGGAACCCGGCCTTATGGACAAAGAAAGCGCAATAAAATATGGCCACGGCCTCAAGTGTTTACACATGTCAACTACAATAAACCCGACTATCCTGCAGCTTCTGAAAGAGCTGGAATTTCAGTTCCGTAAAGATCCATCCGGCGGGTGTTACCCCTCAAAATCATGGATGAACCCCATGGGCCGCATATACTACATGCTCAAGCTTGAGCGTATCAGTATCACCTTCACGGAGAGTGAATTCTACCGCTTAACTGCAGCGGGGTCTACGGATCCTAAAGCTTTGGAAGTACAGCGGATTCAATACGAGAAGTTGGAGCGCTTTGCCAGATGGTTTATTAAACAGATTCCGGCGTCTGTGAACGTATCGTGGTCGCGCGAAGACGCGGCAATTTTCTTTAATAGCACTGCTGTAGAGCAGCGTTTGTATCAGGCCATACAAGAAAGGGCATTGCCTGAATAGGTCATGCTGTCGCGGTGCCGGGACGAGTCCAGGATGTCCATGAATAGACGGCCTTCGATTCGCCAATGCACGAATGCTCATCTCCATATCATACAGCATGTTGAGCGGAATGAGTGTACTGTTGCCTACATCAAGTGAATGAAGGTGAAGAAGGAGCGACCTCTCTTACCTGCACCGCGCTTAGTCCGAAAAGGGATAGTATCGTTCTCACCACTTCCTACCTCTTGTATGTATACGCTACTTTGTCGAACACCTCACAACTGACACCTCCCCATCAGGAAAGTGGACAGCTGCGCGACTCGGCGATGGAGACAACATCACCACCAGGCCACGACGGGGCTACAGGCAGCGCTCTTCCATATGCTGACAGTCGTCTGGGAAAACTACCCACAGAGCTTCTTCAGTCCGTTGTCCATCATTGCTCGCACTTCCGACCTCCCAGCATCGCATGCATAAGCCCTGAGCTGCGCGCGCTTGTCGAACGACAGCTGTATCGCGACGTGGTCCTAGGCCGGTACAGTGTGTGGGCCAGCGCGCCACGAGATCTATGGCTATTCTACCGGACAATCCTGTCGCGGCCAGATCTATCCAGGAAGACCGAAAATCTCGACATCAAAGTCGTTGACCGCATGATGAGTATCGAGGTCCCCACGCTTGGTGTTGTACCACAGGGCGCGATGTTCCCCTCTACCATCCGAGCAGAAATAGAAGAAATTCGCATCGCTTGCGCTCTCCTTTTCTGGCAAATGACCGAGCTCAAATGTCTTAGCTTGTCGATTGTACGTGCCGACGAGGACGACGATGGCAGGCCCAGGGTCGTTTCCAAGTGCTTGAGCAAACTCATCTCCCATTTCGATAATCGCACAGCACATCTCACGACATTCCCTGGACTGCAAAAGCTACGAAGCCTCAAATTCGAAGGCACCGAGTTCCATTGGATACTCGCCAGGTCCCCACATCTGGAGGAGATTGTTCTTACCCGTGCCAGCCACATTCTGGCCGACGGAGCCTCGTCTGCGATCAATTCTGCTGTCAAATTTCTTACAATCCCGGTGCAATCCGCCGTTCTCAATCCAGATTGTAGTCAGTACGACGCCTTGTTTCCCTTCCTCGCACACTTTCCTCACTTGGAAACTCTGCGTATGCCTTTCAACGATGACGACGACACAGTGGCCGGAACCCGTTCAAACTTCAATCTCGCGCGCGATGATGAGGGCAGCTATACTATCCTATTTCAGAAGCTCATGTCAGTAGCACCTGTCTTGACAAGACTGGAACTAGACGCATCCACTCACTGCAGTGAGGAGGACACCAGCTTTCTAGACCACGTACTACCCGCAGATGGCTTCCTTATTTTCAAGGCGCTCAAGCATCTTTTGGTACCTTATCAATGCCTCTTCGGACGGAGCGAGCCACAATGGGCGCATATCCAGCAACCGGCGGATGAGATGCTGCCACCAACTCTTGAGACCTTGGAGGTCCATTTCCCAGAACTTGCATTCCTTGACTGGCTTACCACGTTATCTTACTATCGGAAACAGCTTCCTGTGCTGGAGCACATTGGAATCGCTTGTTCAAGCTGGATTGGAGGCTCATATGTTGACTTTGCGTTTACTTCGTATCCGCACCCCGCGCTGGACATCCTTTCCTCACTGGGCATCGATTGGAGTATTGATGTTCCACAGTGTTGCTGGAGGCAGGCATGGGACGACTATGATCTCCGGGCTTGGGATGCAGTTGCGTGGATGGATAGGACTTTTGGTCCTTCGTATCGTGGTGAGCTTTTGATACGATGATCATGATTTGGATCGAGCTAACAATGTTCGCTCAGGCACCGTCTACAACCCCACTCCTGGTGACAACTCTGAGCTAGATCCCCCCTCAATCATCATCGGGGAAGAAGCAAAGAGCGCAGATACAGTCGGAGTTGCTCCTGGTGCTGTGGTAGCGGATGATGATGACGGAGACTCCTCTGTCTCGCAATTTACTGCCGTCGAACTAGCTATCCTGTGGGAAGCAAGCACTACCCTGCTCTACGAATGATAGAAGCGTCGGCTCAACTCGATCGATCCTGGGGTTTCACTCAAGTAGCGTCAACAGCGGCCATTGAAAGTGTGGCAAGGCTTGTTGCGGATGCATTTGCATGTAGCTATAGGCTACTATGTCGAGGGGAGACTCTGAGATATCTCAAAAGCATGCATATGGCATTTTACTATCCCAGCAGTAACAGTGTGAATAGAAATGTGTTAAGTTTCGTGATATGTTCCTTCATAGCGTATTCTGCGGAGGTTCTCCCCTTAGGCATGTTGTGAGGCGAAGCCACTGTGAAGTCGGTGCATTCACATTACTCCGGTGGCGGCGTTCCAGCTGTGTCCTCTCAATGCTCGTACCCTTTTTGAATCCTTCAAATTTTACCTTTCAAAACTCTTCAGACTCTTCCCTCTCCCCACAGAAAGTGTTGATCGACCGGATTGCTACAACCACGACATTGACGCAACTCATCCATACCCACCAACGTATTCCAGTATACCTGCAGCTATGGCGTCTCCACAGAATGATCCAGAGGCTCTCTCCGAGGAGCTCAAGACCCTCGACATAACCACAGCAGCTACGACGTCTTCAAACCCAGGCCTAGAAGCTCTACCCGTCGAGCTCATGACGTTAGTAACGCAAAGCACCAACGCCAAAGGCAAGGCCATTCTTTCTGGCGACGACATCTGCAACCTCCGCTCTACAAGCCGGCGCATACAACAAACAACACATGATGGCTGGAAAAAACGCTGTTTTGCTACCCGAAAACATATGCTGTCCCGCGCCAGTCTCCAATGCCTTTTGAGCATCTCCACCGATCCTGTTCTGAGAAATTACGTCGAGGAAGTGGCCATCGGACCTGAGCACGTGAACGGATACATGGCTTTTTGGAAGCTAAAGAATTGTAGATCTAGAGATCAGGAGGAAGACTGGCCCAGGACGTATGGGCCAAAGCACGAAAAGCTTGTTGAAGAGCAGGAAGAGTTTGATGCCAGCGACGAAGCAGTGGGGATGTTGAAGTCGGCACTGCAAGGTTTCCCAAACTTGAAGCATATACGCATTGACTCTTACCCGAAAGACTCTTACCTGAAAGACCCTTACCCGAATGAAAGCGAGGATGCTGCTGCCTGGACCGAGGCTTGGGGCTCAAAGCGCATCCTCCGCGAAATGGGCTGGGGAGCCTACGGACATTGGGCTGGCCCTCAATGGGCACTTCGCAATGAAGGAAAGGCCTGCGGCGGTAAGCTACATGGCCACATCGCCAAAGTGCTCTCGGCGCTGCGAGGTATCGAAGATCGCAAAGACTGGACTCTGGAAGTCGCACTGCATACGATGGGATTGGGTTACGAGGAACAACCGTTCGATATCTCGAGTTCCGATTGGACACGTGTTCAGCATCGTGTCACACACTTGAAGTTCATCCGCACATTCGAAATCTTTGAGAAGCATTGGATCACATCGTTGCTGCAGTCCGTCAGCGGCAATCTCAGGTCACTTACGTTGTGTAACGAGAACGTGCCCACCTTCCTTCGATGGACCCAGTTCCCTACTCTCACGCACCTCGACATCCGTAGTAGTCCGATGGCATCACCTCTTTTCAAGAGGTTTCTGTTCAAGCACCGAAAAACTCTGCAGAGCCTTCACATTTGTGGCTTGAATCTGTATGGTTGGTATGACGACGAAGATGCGTTTGAGCCCTCCGACTTTGAGGATGTCGAAGATTCTGATTCCGACGAGGATGGAGTGGTTCAAGAGGTCAATGGACGAAAGCTGAAACCGGGACTCGTCGAGCTAAAAGATGCAACCTGGTTTACGATCTTCAAGCAGTTGACGATGTCTCCTTGCCTGACAAGTGTTCGATTCGCCAGGCTGTCTCAATACCAGCCCCGATTCAACAAGATATACCGACCTGGCATGTATACCACCGAAAATGTAGCTGAGCATCTCATCGGCGGCTTCTCGCTTGCAGCTGAAGGAGATGAGGTGGTAACGAGTCTGGGTCGCGCTGTGAAAGAGCGCATCGCCGTTGAAATGTTAGATAGAGATATAAGCGACAAAATCTGGTTCTCCGATGGGTGCTCGGAGGACTGGGATGCTTAGACTAGATCGCGGCACAGAAATGGCGTGAGGCATGCCAAGGCGTGGGATATCCAAGAGACCCATCTCTTGCTTGCTTGTCTGAATCGTGGTAGAAGTGGGGTAAGCCCACTTTTATGCGCATGTAGTTGATTTGAGGCCGTTACGGCTGTCAAATGGATGCAAAGTTTTCCCTGGTATATGATATCTCCATGACGGCAATTGAAGTTATTGTGCTCAGTGTACCGAATTCTGCCTTTGTGATACCGTGACAAAGTAGCTGAGCATGTTACACACGCAAGTATTACGACCGATCTAGCTTGCGACTAGAACCTTCCGTAATCAAGATGGAAGGTGTGGAGTAAGCGGACCTTGGTGCTTGGCGCGGATGCAGAAGTGATTGTTGAGTCTCGTGACCCGCGACGGAAAGCTCGGCGCTGCAGTCAAGCCACCGGTGACAGATAAGAGCGACAAGAGGCTGGCTTGGGCCCGTCTCAGTGGGGATATCCAGGCGAAATACGCCTTGTCATGTTGGTGTTAAGCTTCGCCGTTAGCATGCGGCGTGACGACCTCAGCAGGTTCCACGGAGGTCGCTCGGAAAGGTGTTGGGCGCCTCGAGCGATACGAGAGAATCGAGGCTTGGCGCAAGGGTGTCCGTGAAGGTAAGTGGCTTGAGCATCTGTAGTCGATGGCAGCGTGCTTGGAATCTGGCGCAAAATGACGTTGGTGTTGTGGCTTCGGTACGGAAGTCGGCACAATTATGCCTGCGCCGAGAAATTAGCACGGCTAGGCGGATCGTAGGCGAGCGGGATGCTTGGCTGGGACCGAACAGCTCGCCACCTCTTTTCACTCATCCCCGCTCGCAGTGCTGGTGAACGGGTGCTACCAACCCCGCTGTCGTCATGCCCGGCACTACTAACAGCACTTTGGGGTGGCATCTGCCGCTCAATCGTCTCAACGTTACTCGATGATGCTGTTGTGCAGTGTGGTAAAAGGCAGGCAGGGTCAGATGTGCCATCCAGTATATCCAGAGGGCTGACAACCAAACGTTTGCGGACATGCATGCATCTCTTTGTTGACGAGTGCCGACCGTTACCGACGATGACGTTCCCTGCACCGGTCCCAAGATAGTCACCATCACGCCAAGCTCTCGATATCGCACGGTTCTTGGCTGCTCTCATGGTGTGTGCACCCGCGTGCCAACTTGCTTGTTTAAAGTCTGCCATGTCCCCGGATCTAGATCTTTTGTCTGCATCCCATTCACTTCTTAGCACCAGAAATCACTCACTATGGGCAAGAAGGCACCGTCTCTCGAGGGCCACAAGTCCGGCCAGGCTAACGAGCCTCTCTCCAAACCCGCACATGCCCTCCCATGGAAGGACGTCGTCGCCGAGATCAAGTGTAACGACGAAGACGGTCTGACTACTGCAGAAGCAAAGTCGAGACATGAGAAGTACGGCAACAACGATCTGGGCGACGATGGAGGTGTATCACCAGGCAAGATTCTGCTAAGGCAGGTCGCCAACGCAATGACATTGGTATGTTACCTCAATGAACACACAATGTAACAATCCTAACAAATCCCAGATCTTGATCGCTGCAATGGCTGTGTCCTTCGCTATCCAATCGTGGATTGAGGGTGGTGTAGTAACCGCCATCATTCTGCTCAACGTTATCATCGGTTTCGTCCAAGAGTTCAATGCTGAAAAGACAATGGACTCGCTTCGATCACTCTCTTCGCCAACAGCTACCGCTGCGCGAGACGGAAAGACTGTTACTGTGCCAACCATTGAGGTTGTTCCCGGTGATTTGATTGAGCTAAAGACAGGTGACACTGTCCCTGCTGACATCCGGTACGTTGAATTGCGCTAAACTAGTTTGTACGTCACTGACTCGCATCCAGTATCATCGAAGCCCTAAACTTTGAAACCGACGAGGCTCTACTTACTGGCGAATCCCTCCCAGTCAACAAAGATGGCGATGCCGTTTTCGACGAGGACACCGGCCCTGGTGACCGCCTCAATGTCGCCTACAGCTCCTCGACCGTTACCAAGGGACGCGCCCGTGGTGTCGTCTTTGCTACTGGAATGTACACTGAGATCGGTTCCATCGCCATGTCTCTTCGACAGAAGGGTTCGCGCGTTCGTGAGGTCAAGCGCAAGCCTGATGGCAAAGCCAAACCCCATCGCTACGCTCAAGCATGGTCTCTGACTGCCGCTGATGCCGTCGGCCATTTCCTTGGTGTCAACGTCGGTACTCCCCTTCAGAAGAAGCTCGCTCGTCTCGCCATCCTCCTTTTCGGTGTCGCCGTTGTCTGCGCAATCATCGTTTTGGCCGCCAACAGCTTTTCCAACAACAGCGAGGTCATCATCTACGCCGTAGCCACTGGTCTCAGTATGATTCCCGCCTCCCTTACCGTCGTCTTGACCATCACAATGGCCGCCGGCACAAAGCGCATGGTGCAACGTCACGTCATTGTTCGCAACCTGAAGTCACTCGAGGCTCTTGGTGGTGTCACTGATATTTGCTCCGACAAGACTGGTACTCTCACACAAGGAAAGATGGTTGCAAAGAAGGCATGGATTCCTGCTAAGGGCACATATTCCGTTGGCCAGTCCGACGAGCCACACAACCCCACCGTTGGCGCTCTGATGTTCAACCCCAAACAGCCACGCCACATCGACCCTGATGTTGACGAGAAGACAGAGACATGGGAGGAGCTTCTACAGGACAACGAGCACCTGGTCGACTACCTCAAGGTTGCTTCGCTCGCCAACTTGGCCCATGTTCATCAGACTGACGAAGGTCAATGGAACGCACGAGGTGACCCAACTGAAATTGCTATCCAAGTCTTTGCCTCTCGCTTCAAGTGGAACCGTCTCGAACACACCGGTGGTGACACACCTGCCTGGAAGCAGCTCGCTGAGTTCCCATTC